TGTTTTGTAAAAATAAGTACACCTCTATGTCATCGAGCAAGTAAAACCAGTTCTTGTTAAAATAATTGTATCAAAAATACGTTCAGAACCATGTGATATTTTGTGTAGAGAAAGATTTGAACACAGTGTTTTAATTGAAATTTGCTGTAATTTTGGTTAGTCAATGTAAGGTTTGATTTTTTTAATATATACTGTATGTATGCTCAAACCAGGTCATTGGTTTACGTTGAGCTGAATACAGATGTGAAATTTGTACGCTATGTTTGTAAGCAGCTGCTGACACAGTTGAAAATATTTTTCATGCTGTAGATGGAGATGCATTATTCAATGATTAATTAATTTAACATTGCAAGATAAATATAGCAGGTCTGGGACCTAAAATCCTGTTTGTTATGCCAAAAAAAATTATTTGGTCAGCCAGATGTCTGTCCAAATGTAGAAATGTGACACTATGCTTCCCCAAACCATGAAGGAGAACTGTTTGGACACGTCTTACATGACACAAGCTTATCTTGCATTGAGACTTTGATATAATTGAAGAGGCAAGAATGACTTTTCCTAGTGTAGCTCCGAAGGACAGTGTCCAAGCAAAGGTTTGTTGTCGACCCTCAAATATTAATTGATCAACTGTTGTAACTAAAAATGTTATTATGGAAGATGTTGAAAAAAGCTTCAGAGAAAAGCTGCCTAGCTGCCCCACCTTTATCGCCAAGTTAATCTCAACCATCTTTCAGTTTTCTGTGTATGATGATTCACCTATTTCTCAGAAGATTACTCACTTGTTAGCCTTAGCATAATCTTTTGCATAATTACTTGCACAGAGAAATCACTGTCCTTGCCAGTTGAATCTGGATTAATCCTAGCTTTAAAAGGCCCAATGTTAATTGCTTCATCATAGAATAGACTCGTGGAGTCCTGTAGCTCAGTGGTTAGAGCACTCGCTTTGCAAGCGAGAGACCTGAGTTCAATTCCAGGCAGGGCGAAACCTTGGGCAAGTTTCCTTACTCCACACGCCTAATAATAATCCCTCCAAAACCAAAAACAATAATAAATTGGTCATTTTCAATCTACGACTGTTTGTGGGACATTGCTGTGCGCAATTGGCTGCCGCGTTCGCCCACAAATATACAGTCAACTCACTTTACAGTGTGTTCTGTGAAGCGCTTTGGGACGTCCTCCCGACGTGAAAAGCGCTATATCAAATGCAAGGATTATTATTATTATTATTATAGAATTGGCTAGCAGTTCTGTCCCATTTGTCTGCAGACTCCCTATAATAAACTCTAATAGTTAAGAGTTCTACTTATTGTCTGGTAATTCACTTTAATATGTGCTGTATTCACATCCCAACTAACCCTTAAAAAACTCCCTTGTCCCAGTACTATCTCGGAAATACTACTCATGGTGGACAATTTATTGTCAAAGTCAATGAAGTTAATTTTGTTCTTCAATGCTATACATTCCACGTACCAATTTTTTTGCTTGGTCAGCTGCATGCCTGACACATTCAGAAATATATTGCTATGCCATGGTTAAGGACCATAATCTCTCACAGCATTTACTGTAGTAAATTTAACCCCTGTTGATTTACTTCTACTTTCATTTTTACTTGCATTGGGTTGTCATATCAGAAACTCTCTAATCACATGGAGAATTACTAAGGAATAAAACCACAGCCCATTAATTGGAAACTAGTATTCCTACAGTAAATCATGTCAAACCTTATAGAATCCAAAGTGAATAAGAAAGAGATACAACGTCTTAGTTCTTAACCCTAAAAATCCAGATCAGGGGAACACAGACTCAAACTCAGAACAAAGGAGAACAGACAGTGCAGATTTATTGACTTTGTTCAGAAGAGATAAATATGTAGAGTACACTAACCAGGGAAGCAGTTGGGGCAGATTATGGTAGCAAAATCAAAAATGGTAGCTATTTGGCTGAGAAATTGATTGTGCTGCATGAGAATTGGATAAGGCTGGATTATTTATTTTTTAAAAACACTTTGGAATGGATCAGATGGACCAGATGGGCTTTTCCAATTTTGTACATTCCTATATTTCTATCTTAATGCAACCACTACATAGAAATTCATCACAGTAATCTCCATTAAATATCTCTGGAATTTCCATGTGTAGGTGGGATGCATGGAACTCTATTTGGTTTGGATACTTTTAAGCATGGTGATGGGTTTCCGCATGTATCAGATACCTGGCTAACCAAAAAAATCATCACAGAACCACAAGAAATATTCCATTAGAAATATTCCACCTTCTGAACGATACCATCAAAAGTAATGTGGCTCTTTGCTAATGTCCACCTACCTGAAATATAAATGATGACCAAATCACTTTAGATGCAGATAGAATTGTACAGGGCAGAGAAATGTAGTATCTTCATTGATGAGAAGACTCAGTTCATGTCTTTGAGAAAAATGAACCATGATAACAGCTCTGTGCTTGTTAGAGCAGTGCCCCAGTATGCTACCCCTCGTGAAAGGTGCTATATGCAAGTTGTTGTAGCTTCTACTTAATAGGGTACCAATTTGAGACAATAACCTCAAAACAGTAAAGCTCAAAAATTGTTAGTTTTTTTATTAAACTCTTGAATTGGAATATTTTGAAAAATGAAAGGAGGAGAAACTAATTTGAGTCATCAGGGAACATGGGAGGGAATATGGAGTGTGCTTGTTTTTCCAACAAAGTCATTTGCATCCAACTCCACCACCAATGTAAAATAATCAGTATGGTGCACTGTGCACTCAGCTCTGCATAACAGCATGGTCAAATAATAAGTATTGTTGAAGCTGCAAGAAAAATCTCTTAGAAAGCATGAAAGGAGTAGGAAAGATCTAGGGAAACACAAAAGAGAAAATGGGAGAAAAAAATATACAAAATGGCCAAAATAGGAGAGAAAATTATACAAAATGATCAAAGTGGGCCAGTGTAGATTGAAATCAAGCTTGTCTGTGAATTTAATTTATCCCTGAGTTTTAACACATACTGGATCCAAAATTCCACCTTATCTTAGCGTCTAAGACCATTCTATTTTAAACATTTAAGACTTGCAGAATAGTAGAAAATTCTTAAATTGTCTTAATTTGGAACCCAGCTCTTTTTAAAAACTGCAGAAAAACAACTTCCAATAATAATAATAATCCTTGCATTTGATATAGTGCCTGATCACAGTCTCAAAGTGCTTTACAGGATATACTGTAAAGTGAATTGACTGTATATTTTGTGGGCCAAACATGGCAGCCAATTGTGCATAGCCCCACAGTCATGGATTGAGTGACCAAATTATTTATTTATTTAGAAGGGATTATTACTCCCGGAAAAGCAATCTGCCAATTGACTAACAACTGGGTTCCTACTTACTGCTACGTAAACAGTGGTGTGTGGACTAAGGAAACTTGCCTAAGGTCTCTCCCCCAGGAATCGAACCCAGGTCCTCTCGCTTGCGAGGTGAGTGCTCTAACCAATATGTTACAGGACCCCACAATTGAAACTGAGTTTAAGAATTTTCCACAGTTCTAAATGATCTTAAATGTTGGATAGAATGATCATAAAGGTGAAATTTTAGGCCAACTGCTTGCTAACACTAAAGAATGTGCATTGTGTCCGTACAAATATAACTTTGTATTGTAATTCCATTATAAAGCTGGAATAAAAAGTTTGTTGGCATCGTTGCATCTCCTGTCATTCTCCTCACAGTTCGGTTCCTGATTTACATGCTTATGGTTAGCTTATCAATGAAGATCACACATTTAGTCTGTATGAAGAAGGCCCTTCGGCCCATCCAATCTCATCCTTCTAGAACACCCACCCTACCGTCCACCCATCACTGCATCAAGTTGTTTCTTTTTAAATGAGTCCAGTGAGCTGGCCTCTGCCATCTTTCCCGGCAACCTGCTCCAGTAGATGATTACCCTCTGTGTAAAGAAAAACATTGTGGTATCTGTCCTTAAACTACCCTTTACAACTCTAAACCTATGTCCTCTTGTTCTACTGTCTTGATGCATCCGAAAGTATTGATCTGGGTTCACATTTTCAATTCATTTAAAATGTTGTACATCTCTTTGAGGTTCCCCTCTGAGTCATCTTCTCTAATGATTGAAGAGCATTACAGACTGAAGAACTTGTCTAACCATTGCTCGTAGCTCATTCCTTTAACACAGGGAATCATCTTCATTGCTCTCCTCTGCACTGCCTCTACAGAGCTTAGGCTTTTCTCTTTGACCGTGCCTTCAGCTCCCCTCTCGACTCTCTTCCCCCTCCTCGCTCCCTCCCTTCCCTCCCCTCACCCTGACCATTTCGCCCCTGCTCGGGTCATGACCCAACTGTGCAGCACCTTGGGACGTCCTCCTGACGTGAAAGGCGCTTTATAAATGGAATCTTGTTGTTGTTGTTTGTTTGGAGCCCTTATGTCACAGTGACCAGAACTATATACAGTATTCAGTATTGGTCTGAACAGTGCACTTATAGCCTAAGTATGACATATGGGAATCTAAACTCAACTAACTTACAATATAACCCAATATCTTGTTTGCCTTATGTTATTGTGAAAACAGTGAACGTGCTGCTTCCACTACTGTTATTATTTCACAGGAGGTAGGCTAGATGGGCCAAATGTCTATGATTCAACGTATGCTTAAAATGAAGAACATCCATATTTTATTACTTTTTGAAAGAAAACTAATAATAGCAACGATAACATTTTATTTTGTGATCCATACACTGAAATGAATTTGCAAAATTAATTTTACTTAATATAGCTTATTTAATAAACTTATTTAAAACTATGACAGAAAGCAAAACCTAGCAATGAGGCTTCAATACTAAAAATAAATGTAAGCAGAATCTTTTAAAAGTGTTGCATCCACAGCATATATTGTGCAATCAACCATTAGTAAGTAGAGGTAAATACTTGATAAAAACTCTTCATAAAATTATTCCCTCAGAATTATTTTTGTTCTCCAGTATGTCGATCGGTGATGTACAGGAGTGCTCTTGAAATACATTTATTTGCAGGAGGATTGTTAACATCAGGATCAAATTAATGGGATTTGTGTTGCATATCATTCTGCTAATAAACCTGTTCTTATTATTCTATACTGTATTGGCATCAAACTATGTCATTGTTAATTGCAAGTTGTTGTTGTTGATCTGGGTAATAACATAAAAGACCCATGACTGAACTAATTGGAATAAAGGAGAATATTATTTATATCAATCGTCTTATGCTGTTACTGATTAAAATGAGATAGTACAATATGTCTTCTTAAGTGAATGTATCCTTTCATGGATATGTTTCTCTATTTCCCTAACCTTCTACCTTGCTTGAGCTGCACAGGCTCATCTGTTATAGCTGGGAGATGTGAATCGCCTACTGCTAACCCACTGCCAACCCTACAATTTAGCTTGTCAATGTTTCATCTTTTCCAGAGTGGCATGGCTGGGATCGAGAAGTCAACCTAGTCTGGCTTGGGTTCAGACTCCCCTGGCTCGGGATCAGACTCCGCCTCTGTCAAGCGCTCCAGGACGTTACCTCACGTGAAGGGTGCTCTATATATGCAAGTTGTTCTAGCGTTGTCTCTCTTATATGGGGTCTATTGTGTTAAAGCAGAAAAATAATACCAATTAACTTTCCGTTCATTGACCGACCAAAACAGCCTTAGTTTTCAGGATCATACACAGAAAGTGAACCCTATTATTAGAATATGTTCAACATGCTTGATAAAATTAGTTACGCTTTTATAGCACTGACGATAAGTGAATTGTCACATAAAGAGGTTGCACTTGACTACACAGTGGGAATATCAATAGCTTCAGGTTGTAACTTAATGGAAGCACAGTGTGTTCTTTCCAGCTATACGGAAAGCTATTGCTTATTTGAACATAAGCTTTCTTGACTTGATATATTTAGACTGACAGGTTAACGAAAGACAAGGTCTGTGTAACTTTGAGCAGCTCTATTGTATATAGTTGTGACAACCTTTTAGATACTGGAATGTTAAGGTTGATATGACAAATTACAGGAATTGTGAAACAGTTTCAGTTGTGGGAATAAATAAATAAATAAATAGGGGATTATCTGCAGATGATACATAGGATTATTTCAGCAGGTGATAAACATCATGCACAACAGATAATTTGTGAAGTCATGTAGCTCAGTGATTAGAGCACTCGCCTCGCAATTGAGTGACCTGGGTTCGATTCCCGGCAGGGCAAAACCTTGGGCAAGTTTCCTTGCTCCACACGCCTGATAATAACCCCTCAAAAAAAAAACAATAATAATTTGGTCACCCAATCCATGACTGTTTGTGGAACACTGCTATACGCAATTGGCTGCTGGGTTTCACCCACAAATATACAGTCAATTCACTTCACAGTATATTCTGTGAAGCGCTTTGAGAAATCTCGAAGACGTGAAAAGTGCTATATCAAATGCAAGGGTTATTATTTATTATTCTAATTAGCCTCATAGCTTCAAGATAAAATTCAACATCAATTAAAGAATTCAGAATATATAAAGTGCTGCCTTGTTATTTTAACAATATTTTTGATGGAATCTGAGTTGTCCTCATTCAATTGTGAAAGCTGAAAGTGAAGATCAAGTATTCTCAAATCAGGTACAATACTGGTAAAAGCTTCCTCTGAGGTATAAAATAGATGAAGGTTTCATGACCTAAATTTCTTGATTGAGGTCTGTGGATATCAAGTTTGACCTCAGTGGATATCAAACAAGAAATGTAAACAGACAATGAGTGTTATTGACTGATTCTGCTTTGGTTGTTGTATTATGGAAAGCCAAAACTCAGGTATTGTTGCTTTTCAGATTTCTATCTTTTATCTATTTCATAAAAACTCATCAAAGTGTTAAAACAATCAAAAGAGCAGATGGAAAAGTTGAGTAAGTATGAACATACTGCATCAATCTGAGATGAGAAACTCAGGAAACGGCCCTTGTTTTATAATGTTGTTTTCCTCTGTGAGTTTCCAAAGCTCAAGGTTCCTTCATCTCGACTTTAAAAATGAATTCTTTCATTTTAAATACTAGAAACTATCATATATGAAACATGTTTTTCCATAGTTAATTATTTATCAAGGCTGCAAAATCCCTCTTCTTTGCTTCTTTATATATTCTCAACTCCTTAGCCACTCACTCACCTCCCAGTAATGTAGTCCTGCTGCTCTTCAGATGGTCACTAGGAGGTGTACAAGACAAGATACATGACAATTGTCCCTGTTATTTTGACATAACAATACTTCAGATATACTGAGAAGCAGGACTAGAGGGTATAGGTTCAGGGTTGTAAAAGGCAATTTCAGATGGACATCAGGAAGCATCACAGGACAGTGGATAACAATCCACTTGGTTGATATTTCCCATACTTGTAGGAGTCCTAAAAATAATAATAATTTGGTCAGTCAATCCATTACTGTTTGTGGGACACTGCTATGCACAATTGGCTGCTGCATTTCGCCCACAAAATACAGTCAATTCACTTTATAGTATATTCTGTGAAGAGCTATGAGACGTCTAGAAAATATGAAAAGTGCTATATCAAATGCAAGGATTATTATTATTGACCTCAGGGTTTTGAAGCCTATTTTAAAGCTCCAGCTGCAGTGCATCTTTGATCACCTAACTGATCACAGATCAACATCCGATTACGGAACTTTCTACTTTGCGTGGCTTATTGCTGTACTGGATGCTGCCTAAGGATTATCAGAGACGCTCGGAATATTTTTCTCTTAACATGTAGATCTCGCGTGAAATGAATACACATGTACTAAGCATAATGGTTATCGAATTTATATCACGAAACCAATTACAGTAGTGAACTTTCCAGGTATTTTTGATGTGATCCCATTGTTAAATTTAACGGCTGAAATAACAAAGGCAAAAATATTCCGGATAAAATTAAGACTTAAAGTGCAAACACTGAATCTTGCACATATTTATGTTCCCTGACAATGCAGTTAAATCTAATGGCAAGTGAAATTTCACCTTTTTTCTTTCCAACCTTGGTGATGGACTTTGACTTTTCACAAGATTTTGCAATAAAGCAATTACACATGCACACCCCAGATAAATATTCCTAAAGATCCATATTAATATATTGGGATGATCATTCAGTTGACTAAACAAAGGATTAAAGAGGTTTTGCACTCCTTCAACTTTCACAGTGGAGTTGTGCCAACTAGGTTAATTTGTGTAATCTATGTGAGACTCTCCTTAACAGCCAATCTATCACACTTGCATGAACAGTAGAGTAATAACAGTACGACAGGTCTATAAAGTGTGGGGTTCATCAGTAATAATCATTGTTTTTTTTGGTCAGCTGGGTATCTGATTAATGCGGAAACTCATCACCATGCTAAAGAGTATCCAATCCAAACTGAGAATTCAGTGCAATCCAACTATACTGGAAATTCTAGAGCTGTTTATCGGAATGGAATATGGACTCTCTCCCTGGAGAGATACATCCTGCTTACCTAATTCCAGAATGTTTTAGGCGCAGGTTGGTGAGAGCTAAGGCTTGGGGACCCCAGAGTGCATGTTGGGGTCCTGCTGAAGTGTCACCAACTAAAAAAGCATGGCTTGCCATTAATAGCACTGCCTGGCAAGCTTTCCCGCTGCTTGTCCAGCAAGGACCTCCAATAGCTTGCAGGATTAATAGGAGTTGAGTGACTGATCTGCCCTCCCTAGTCTTGTCGATGAGCCAGGCTGGCTGTGCTGTCATCAGCAGTGCCCTGGAATACTGCAGCCCAGCCTGGTTTAGTAACTGGACTACTGAGACCGCCACAGAAAGCTGGCTTGATTCTGACAAGCCATTGCCAAACTTGTCACCTTGGAGCCAGTTCAGCTCCGAGGAGACATCGCTTACCTCTCTTCAAGGAGGTTAATGAACGTTGGTCATTTGGCATCCGACAAGCATGAGTTTGAGCCCTCACTAGGTGGGTGGTAGCTACAAGGAGCTCCTTGCAAGCTTCCTGGTGGCCAACACAGCTCAGCATGAAATGCATGAGAGCATTGCCACCATCTTCCTGCTACAACTCGGACACACATCTCTTCCCTCTGAACATTCATCCATGATTCCAGATATCAATAAACATGAACAGTAGAGTAATAACAGTAATAAACTTTCACAATATTTACCTTTCAAATAGTATGATTAAATTGCATTGCATTCAACTAATAGCTGCCTGATACAGAAGAGACAGTGCCAATCTGGCAAATGAGAGAGCAGATGAGGGAAAGATGTATCTGATGATGGGATCAAGTTGTAAGCAGAGGCAGATTAAGCTTTGGTGGGCCTGAATCCCCAATTTTCATGTGTTCTATTTATAAGTAATGGGCTCAGTGGCAGATTGACTCCTGAAAGGGCTCGGGATTGTGAAGTAAAATAGGGGCGGCTATTCGCGGGGGACTTCTGGCAGCCCATCATGAGAGCTTATTGCAGCCAATCATGGGAATGCTTGGGAAATTTCCTGATTTCCTGTATAGCCAGTCCAGCACTGAATGGGCCCCTTCTGAGCCACAGCCCCATTGTTAATTTGCCACTCATTGGAGGTGGTTGAAATGGTAGAATATGATCTGTCAGATCATATTCTACCATATTCTACCAGGGTGGGGTGTACTATAGGGCGTCTGTATTAAATTTATAAATGTGAGGATGGGACCCAAGCCTTGGAATTCCATCTAGTCTTAGACTTTAAGACCATTTGTCTCAAAATTTAAGCAATGAAATTGCAAGCAATTGAAATTAAAATCATGTTTCATTTGGAAGTCAGTTCTTTTGAAAAACTGTGGAAAAACAACTTCCAAATTAAAGCTGAATTTAAGAATTTTCCACAGTAATCTTACAGGGCTAATACCAGGTGATTTTCAGGTCTACAGTAAGGCATACAAATTTTCCAGTTTAGTGCAGTGACTATAAATGACTTTGTCAGCCTCTGAACATAGTATATTCTTCCCAGTGACAAAATGGATGCTGTGTATCCAATTGACGTGATGTAAAGTTCCATTTTAAAAATCCTATAATTTTAAGTACATGTTAAAAATTCAGTCAGAACTTGTGAATCTTAGCTCAGATAAAATCAACATTATACGTAGAAAATCAGAGGAAGATTTGAAAAGGTTGCATTGTAGAATACTATAATAGTAAAAGGTATTAAGAATGACTTATTTCAAGCGAAGCTGCGTAAAAGTATTGAAAATCTGCCATTTAAAGCAATCTTCTTTTAAAAAAAGACCAAGACTCCCAGGTGGTTCTGTGAGTTTATCCAGTGATTTACTGAGTAATGGAAAACAGGAAGCAAGGGCTGACTTTCCTTTTATTAACTAGAGCATCAATAAAAGCACTACAATAGGCCACAAACCTTAATAATCCTTGCATTTGCAGTAATGGAAAGCACTCCGGGATGCTACCCTGCGTGAAGTGCATTATGTAAAAGCAAGCTATTGGAAAGAAAAGTCAGCCATGGCTCCTGCTCCTGATTGCACTAACACAAAACTCCCACAAGTGAAGCACATTTGGTCATTCATTGGGAAAGAATACGATTGGCTCTAGTTGTGATGCTCCGTACAGCAGAGTGACCATATGTCCCCGATTTCTGGAGACAGTCCCTGGATGAGGTATTGGTTCCTGGACAAATTTGCCTTGTCTTGAGTTCAGCAACAAACTGAGCAAGAACAATAACATTCTAAAACAGATGCACTCATCAGAGAAATGTAGCCATCAATCCAATAAGCTTCTCCAGTACTGCCAGCATCAGGAACCGTGGTGAGTTCAACTTTTTTTTTACATGTCTCCAGATTTGGTTACAAAATATGGTGACACTACAGTCAAAAGCCTCACTCCCTGTGAAGGTTCACATAAGAGAAATTTGATTAAAGAACTGAATTATGGTGGCACTATACCCAGTAGAAGAAAAATTGATGCAAGGTATTTTGTTAAAGAAACTCCATCACTCTACTCTTCACCTTTGTAAAAGAAAACATTCAATCATTTAAAACTGTATAATAAGACATTACAACTAGATGATGGTTCAATATACCAGTGAATCATCACTATTCTTTTGTGCTCTTTAATACAAGACACAACAAGTGTGATCTATTAAAACTATATGACTGGCCAGATTGATTGCAACAGTCCTTTCCAGTCCTGCAGATTCCTTGTTCCCTTCGATCTGCAATTCCTAATATTTTTAGACTTCCTGTAAATTTAAGGATTTTGTACAATGTCACTCATACTCTTGAATATGTACTGGCACAGATCAATGTCTATGGCAGGTGTTGCTCCAAAACAGTTCATAGCACTGTCAAATAAATTGCTGGAAACACTCGGATCCCTTCATATTTAAAATGATGAAATTTAAAAATGTTTCAAGACTTGTATATTCTAGCATTTATAAGCAATTGTTGTCAAGTGTAGTAACTGCCATATTGTCATATAGTGTCAGGCTCGGTTATGATGCTCTCTACAGTCAAGTGGCCTGTCGACACTCACTGCTCACAGGTGGCCTCTTGGATAGGGGAACAGAGGGCTTCATGCTCTCAGTGAGTGAGAGAAAAGTCACATATCTATCACAAATAAATTCTCATAAACTTAGTTTGATTTGGAATGAGTAACCCTGAACACTGTATTACAATAATAATAATACTTTCATTTAATATAGCGCCTGATCACTTCTTTGAGACATCTCAAAGCGCTTCCCAGAAAAAAACTATAAAATGAATTGACTGTATATTTTGTGAGCAAAATGTGGCAGCCAATTGTGCACAGCAGTGTCCCACAAACATCTGTGGACTGAGTAACCCAATTTTTTTATGCCAGGAAAAGCGATCTGCCAATTGACTAACAACCTACTTACTGCTTGGTAAACAGGCATGTGGAGTAAGGAACTTGCCTAAGGTTTTCTCCACCCGGTAATCGAACATCTGCCAAAAATGCACCACACTACTAACAAACATTGGACCATGATTAAATACCCCAATGTGCAGTTAGTAGTAAAAATAAAAGAAAGTGAGTTTCTGTATTTGACTTCTGGTTTGTGAATACCAGGATTGCAAAAATTGAGCCCCAGTAATTTACAAGGCCCAAGTGGACAAAGTCCAAAAAAATGCCGGTGAGGAAAACATGAAACAGGTAACGTTAGCCTTTTTGAAATTAGCAGTCCTGGGATTCACAATTCACTGGACCCAAATTTTGAAAACCAATATTCACAAAAGAGAAATTACAATTAATGCAATAAAAGTAGCACGAGGGCTGGTAAGATCAAATTAATTGACAACCATTTGTCATTTGTAGCCATCGGAGAAAACTTGGAACATACATCTTCCCAGGATTTGGAGGGCGGATTAGAGGATCTGCAAAAAAACGACAAGTGACAATGTGACATCACAATCAAACGACAGAACCAGAAAAAAACTTTAAAAAACCTTAAATAAAAACCATAATACAGAGTGAGAGAGAGAGGAGAAAATGGCATGGCAGTTGTTGTGCGATGATTGCAGTATGTGGGAGTTGATGGAGGACAGCCTGAGCCCGGGCGACTACATCTGCAGCAAGTGTCTGCAACTGAGGAAGATCCAGCTTAGAGTACATGAGCTGGAATCTGAGGTGCAGACATTGTGCAGTGTTAGGGAAGGTGATAGCTTCCTGGATAGTTTCATCCAGGAGACAATCACTCCCCTGAGGCTCAGTAAATGTATAGATCCTGCTACTAGTCAGGGACAGGACAGTGTGACTGACCCCCGTCAGGCAGGTCAGGGGACCCCAGAGAGAGTGGTGGAGAAGCCTAAGGCTTTAATCTTGTCCAACAGGTACGAGGTACTTGCAACCTGTGTGGACAAGGAAGTCTGTAAGGAGGAGGATGGGCAAACTGACCCCAGAATCTCAATACAGGAGGCCACACGTGGAGGGAGCGAAACAAAATGTAGTTGTGATAGGGGACGAGACAGTCAGGCGGACAGACTCTCTTCTCTGCAGTCACAAAGGTTCTGTTGCCTTCCTGGTGCCAGGGTTAAGGTCGTCTCTTCAGGGCTGGAGAAGAATTTTAAGCAGGAAGGCGATGATTCAATTGTGGTGATCCACATAGGAACCAACAATATAGGTAGGACTAGTAGTGACGATCTGAGGAGTGAGTTCAATGAACTGGGAATGAAATTAAAAGGAAGAACTTCCAATGTATAATCTCCGGATTACCACCTGAGCCACGGGCAAATTGGTACAGGGACAAACAAATTAAAGAGTTAAATGCGTGGCTGAAAGAGTGGTGCGGGAGGCAGGGGTTTAGTTTTATGGGCCACTGGCACCAGTATTGGGGGAAAATGGAGCTGTTCCATCGAGATGGGCTCCACCTTAACCGAGCTGGCACCAATGTTCTGGCAAAACGATTAAATAGAGAGATAGACAGAGCTTTAAATTATTAAGGGAGGGAGGGGGGGAGGAAAGGTTAGTTACAGTTAAATGTAAACCCAGTAAAGGAACAGAGTAGCCACTTGGGAGATAAAGAACAGAGTGTGTCAAGTAGGGACAAAAAGCTCAACAAAGGAAATGGGGCATTATCGAGTAAGGCAAATAGTAAGAAGTCAAAATTCAATGCGCTATATCTGAATGCGCAAAGCATTCATAACAAGATAGACGAATTGAGTGCACAAATAGAGATAAATGGGTACGTTCTAGTGGCTATTACTGAGACGTGGTTACAGGGAGACCAAGGGAGGGAGCTAAACATTCCGGGGTATTCGACGTATAGGAAAGATAGGCAATGTGGAAAATGAGGTGAGGGGGTTAGCCCTGCTAATAAAGGATGAGATAAAAACAGTAGAGAGGAAGGATTTTAAATCAGAAAAGTCAGCATGGGTGGAGGTAAGAAACAACAAGAGGCAGAAAACACTAGTGTAGTTTATAGACCTCCAAACAGAACTTATAGTATTTGGCAGGGTATTAATCAGGAAATTAATGGAGCATGTAGCAAGGGTAATACACTAATAGTGGGTGATTTCAATCTTCATATAGACTGGGAAAACCAAATTGGTAAATGTAAATTAGAGAATGAGTTTATAGAATGCATTAGAGATAGTTTTCTAGAACAATATGCTGAGGAAACAACCAGGGAACAGGCAATCCTAGATCTTGTGTTGTGTAACGAAATAGGGCTAATCAACAATCTGGAAGTTAAGGTTCCTCTAAGGGAGAGTGACCGTAACATGATGGAATTTAACATTAAGTTAGAGAGTGATATAGTTGAATCTGAAGCAAGGGTCTTAAATTTAAATAAAGCCAACTTTGCAGGTATGAGAGAAGATTTGGCTAAAATAAACTGGGAAATTAGATTTAAAAATATAACAGTAGACCAGCAATGGCAAATGTTTAAAGATATAATACATAATTCCCAGCGATCACATATTTCCTTGAAAAATAAAAATACCATGGGAAAAGTGGTTTAACCTTGGCTAACTAGAGAAGTTAGGGAAAGTATAACATTAAAAGAAGAGGCCTATAATACTGCCAAAAAGAGCAGTAAACCTGAGGATTGGGAGAGCTTTAGAGAACAGCAAAGGAAAACCAAGAAACTGATTAAGAGGAAGAAAATGGAATATGAAGGTAAACGAGCAAGGAACATAAAGACAGATTGTAAGAGTTTTTACAAATACATAAAGAGGAAGAGACTATCAAAAGTGAATGTGGGTCCATTGCAGGCAGAGACAGGAGAAATTATAACGGGGAATTTAGATGAAGAAATAGAACTTAACATATCTAAATTTGCAGACGATACGAAGATAGGTGGAAGAGTAAGTTGTGAGGATGACACAAAAAGAATGTAAAGGGAACTATACAGGCTAGGTGAGTGGGCAAGGTGGCAGATGGAGTATAACGTGGGGAAGTGTGAAGTTATTCACCTAGGTAGTAAAAATAGAAAAGCGGATTATTTTCTAGCGTGGGAGAGACTAGGTAGTGTTAGTGTTCAGAGCGATTTGGGTATCCTTGTACACCAATCACAAAACGTTAGTATGTAGGTACAGCAAGCAACTAGGAAGGCTAATGCCATGTTGGCGTTCGTTGCAAAAGGGTTAGAGTACAAGAGTAGGGAAGTCTTGCTGCAGTTGTATAAGGCTTGGTGAGAATATTGTGTGCAGTTTTGGTCTCCTTATTTAAGAAAGGACATACTCACCTTAGAGGGGTGCAGAGTAGGTTCCTGGGATGAGGGGATTGACCTATGAGGATAGTTTGAGTAAACTAGGCCTACATTCTCTAGAGTATAGAAGAATTAGAGGCGATCTTATAGAAACCTATAAGATTCTTAAGAGTCTTGACAGGGTAGATGCCGTGAGACTGTTTCCCCTGGTTGGAGAATCTAAAACCAGGGGTTATAGCCTCAAGATTAAGGGTCAGCCTTTTCGAACTGAGTTGAGGAAACATTTCTTCACTCAGAGGGTAGTGAATTTGTGGAATTCTCAACCCCAGAAGGCTGTGAATGCTCAGTCCTTGAACATATTGTGGAGTCTTGTAGCTCAGTGGTTAGAGCACTCGCTTCGCAAGCGAGAGATCTAGGTTCGATTCCCAGCAGGGTGAAACCTTGGGCAAGTTTTCTTATTCCACATGCCTGATAATAATCCCTCAAAAAAACAATAATAAATTGGTCATTTCAATCCACGCCTGTGTGTGGGACACTGCTGTGCGCAATTGGCTGCCACATTTCACCCACAAATATGCAGTCAATTCACTTTACAGTCTATTCTGTGAAGCGCTTTGAGATATCTAGAAGACGTGAAAAGTGCTATATCAAATGCAAGGATTATTATTATCATATTATTATTATATTTAAGACTGAGGTTGATAGATTTCTAAAGGATAGAGGGATTAAGGGATATGGGGATAGGATGGGTAAATGGAATTAGGTTAGAAGATCAGCCATGATCTTATTAAATGCTCGAGGGTCCGAATGGCCTATTCCTGCTCCTACATCTTATGGTCTTATGGTCTTCACACCACTGGATGTTGCTTCTGTTATTCATAAGTATATTTTATCAATAGAAGGAAAATATTACCTATTCTTATTTTTCCATTAAGCTTCCCACTGACTTCTTAATTTGACAACACGTTTGCTATTATCAGCAAAGTGCTAACTCCTTTTGTATCATACTATTTTTATGACATCAAAACCTTTCGTTAATACAGTAGTAACACAAATAGAAAATGTAACTGTCTATCTATGCCATTTGTGATCCAGTTGATTTGTAATCAGAGCTATTTCAGAGCTCTAAGGGGACTGCTATTTGCTACTAGAAGCGCATTGTTGACATTGGGATATATCAAATGGCAATCACTAGAAACATTTATAATTTCTTTACTTGCTTATAATTGGAAAGTAATGTATTTTATAATGGAAAATCCCATTATAAACAAGGGATGGGAATTATGACATGAAACTATATTTATAGTGTTCAAAATGGGAAATACTATTATGAACAAGTAGCAAAAGGTTATTAGTCCCAGCATATGATGCACAATAGACCCAGCTAATTAACAGTTTGATTTTTGATTTGTTTCTGTTACCATTTATAATCTGCGAAATGAAAAGGTTCTCTTTTAACAGAGCAAATTTCCATAAAGCAATATATTTCGATCAGATTTTTATTCAGAGTACTGGATTGAAATGTCTAGTTTTGTATAGCTTACATTTCTTGCCATCAAACTTCAGACTGATTTTTGAAGTGCACTCGTTGTGTAACTAGGTAAGTCAACAGCCCTCAGGCATGTTTGCAATTCACTACTAACTAGGTCATTCTTTCTTTTAAAGCCAGGTAAAACCTGTTCTATCTGTAAGCCAGTCAGATTGGGCAACACAGAGATTAATTCAAATTGGCACCTTATCCGTTGGGTACAGATCTGAATGAAGTTGCTATCTATGCATACATTTCCATTAAATATTTGGTGTTATGAAGTGTTTTTTTTAAATAATATGTAGCGGTAATAACACAGGCATGGATTGATTGGGTCAAATGGCCTTTTTCCCGACTGTATAGTCTACATAAATCTATGTAAATAACCATTTCAGGGGCATTGTTGTGCGTAAATTAGCTGCTGCGCTTCACTTACATCTATAGTCACTACAATTTATAGTAAACCCAATGAAGTTCTTTGAGATTGCTTCCTGATATGAAAGGCACTTTAGCAAATGCAAGGATTTTAAAAATTAAACCCCTGTGTATTCCTTAGTTTAATTTCCTCGTTGATTACTAAAAAACATCTAGTCAGTTGAGGATAACTATAATGAGTACTAGAAAAAGTAAGAGAACAAATAAAAAAACAAAAAAACGATAAAAAATAGTAGATGGAATATCTTTAGGGTATAAATGTAGTAAAAATATTATGGAATATTTGAAAATAACAGAGATGATTGTTCAAATCAGTTTCCATTAACACAGTTTGTTGGCAAAGTCCAAAGCAGTTATTGTAGCTCAGGAATCCATAATGTGTCAACATGTTACAAAGAATCTCAGAAACTAAATGCAGTATATCCATACCCTGTATATGTAACAACAGGACCAAATGGAAACACACATCCAAACACACTCAAATAAATGAGACAAGAAATAGTCAAGGCTTTAACGGCTTGAGGTTCCACCTAATCTTACCTGGCAGCCCATTTTTTCGTAAACTAAGACCGTGCAGAATTTTGGAAAATTCTTCAGTTCAGAAAAAACTTCTTTTAAACAAATGCAGAAAACTACTTTCCATATTAAGATTGAATTTAAGAACTTTCCAACAATCTATGTGATCTTAAATTTTAAGAAAATGGCTTTTCAGTTTAAGACTAAATGCAATTTCTGGCACCCCACCTTTCGAAATTCTAAAATCATAGAGCGAGAAATTTATTTTGTCACTAAGTGTAGGGCCTCTTATTAATGTGATCTAATTTGCAATGTTCACAAACTTGATTTGTAGAATAAATTGCAACTTCTGGTTTGTTAAATTTGATTTACAAAATGCAAATCCTGTGCAAATTGTGAATCCCAATTTAGCAACATCTGGAATAAATGGGATTTTCTAACTACAAAGCCATTACTCTTAACGGTAAAAGGAATTTCACCCCCATGAATTGTATCTGACGCCTGGATATTATAGAAAGTGAATAATAATAATAATAATCCTTGCATTTGGTATAGCGCTTTTCACGTCTTCTAGATGTCTCAAAGCGCTTCACAGAATATCCTGAAAAGTGAATTGACTGTATATTTGTGGGCGAAATGTGGCAGCCAATTGTGCACAGCAGTGTCCCACAAACAGTCGTGGATTGAAAATGACCAATTTATTATTGTTTTTGTTTTTTGGAGGGATTATTATTAGGCGTGTGGAGTAAGGAAACTTCCCCAAGGTTTCGCCCTGCCTGGAATTGAACCCAGGTGTCTCACTTGCAAGGCGAGTGCTCTAACTACTGAGCTACAGGACTCCACAGCAATGAAGCATAAACCAGGAAACTATATACAAGCTAGAAGTAGTGAGTGGGAAAAAGCTTTTTGAGAGTTCTAGCAATAAAATATATTCATTTTTTAAAAAATCAGAGATCAGGCGTGGTTACGAGCCACTTATATTAAACCACATCAAAGGATGGCAGAGGGCGTGGAACACATTTATTTAATAATAAGAATACAATACAAAATTACATTTGTATAGCGCCCTTCACGTCGGGAGGACCTCCAAAGGTGCTGGACAATCAGAATGTCAAAAAGATTACTAATAGCAAAGGGGGATGATCATGCTTGGTTGCCATGCCCTTTACAATCAAGTGACTTGCCGACAGTCAGCGCCAAGGTTTTAAGTATGAACAATGGCAAGTTAGGCAGAGTACCAGAGGGCAATCAATACCTGTGGAACCACACCCAAGAAGAGAAGGCCAAAACAGTTTATAATTCTTGCATTTGATATAGGGCTTTATCACACCGTTGATATGTCTCAGTGCGCTTCACAGAATGTATTATAAAGTGAATTGACTGTATATTTTGTGAGCGAAACATGGCAGCCAATTGCGCTCAGCAGTATCACACAAACAGTCATGGATTGAGTGACTAAATTGTTTGTTTGTTTTGAAGTGATTATAACCCCCAGAAAGCAATCTGCCAATCAACTATCAATCCGGGTTCCTACTTGCTGCTAGGTAAACAAAAGGGTGTGGAGTAAGGAAACTCACCAAGGTCTGCCCCCTTCAGGAATCGAAGCCAGGACCCCTTGCTTGCGAGACAAATGCTTTATCCACTACACTACAGGACTCTAGGTGAGACATATATCTGTGCGAAAATATTAGAAAAATAAATGGACTATATAGAAATAGAAAAATGTAAAAAGGAAAACATAAAGTGCTTTATAGAGACAGAGTGGAAGACTGAGCTGAGCGAGAGATAAAGAGGGTAAGTAGAAGCCGGCCAAGCTCAGCATTGTTAAGTTATCTGAACTTCCAATCATTTATTCTTTACATGGATTCATGTGATTTAAAGGCATCTTGCCTCAAAGAATTCATTCTCTCCGTCATTTAATGTTCAGTCAAAAAGTTAAGGTTTTAGATGGGTTTTGAAAGCAGAGAGAGAGAACAAGAAGGAGGGATTTAGAGTTCCAGAGCGCATGGAGTAAATTGGATGAAAGCTTGCCCACTGATGATGATAATAATAATAATAATCCTTGCATTTGATATAGCATCTTATCATGTCTTCGAGACATCTCAAAGTGCTTAACAGAATATACTGTGAAGTGAATTGACTGTATATTTTGTGGGTGAAACGCGGCAGCCAATTGCGCCCAGCAGTGTCCCACAAACCGCCCTAGATTGAATGACCAAATTATTATTATTTTTAAAAATTTTGAAGGAATTATTACCCCCAGAAAAGCAATACGCCAATCGACTAACAACCGGGTTCCTACTTACTGCTAGGTAAACAGGCGTGTGGAGTAAGAAAACTTGTCCAATGTTGTGCCCTGCCCGCGAATCAAACCCAGGCCCTCTCGCTTGTGAGGCGAGTGCTCTAACAATAACAACAACTACTTGGATTTATATAGCGCCCTCCACGCCGGATGGCGTCTCAGAGCGTTTAAACCACTTCGCTACAGGACTCCACCGGGTAGGATGAGGTAGAGAAGCAAGTGACATGAAGAAATCCTAATTTGGTAGAGTAGGGGGAAGAGAGCAGATGAGTGGAACTTTATACAGAGCCTTGTGTGTGAGGGAACGTGGGCAGAGAGAATGGAATTTGGGATCAGGAGCTTGTGGAGGGAAAGCGAGAGTTGGGAAAGCCAGAAACAGGGTATTGGAGAAGTAAGTCTAGAACTCTTTATAAAAATATTCTCTGTATCAGGAGTTTCTCTGCATCAGAAGACAGTTCAAATGAAAATTACTGATTGACTTTTTAATGAAGTAGCGAAAAGTTAGTTCAAGCTCAGTATTGTTAAGTCATCTGAACTTCCAATCATTTATTCTTTACATGGATTCATGTGATTTAAAGGCACCTTACTTCAAAGAATTCATTCTCTCCATTATTTTTTTCTCTGCATCATCTGGCCGTGAACTTGACTGAATATGTACTGCAAAAATAAGGTTTTGATCTTTAAAGGTAGACCTGATTCTGTTTCAACAAATTTCTGATTCACTTCACAACCATTTTGCTCCCATCCATTCCTTGCCTTCTGATCTATTGAATCAATGTCCTCTGTGGTACATTGTGAAAAACTTTACTAAATGAAGTTTTAAACATCGAAAGGTACTGAGTTCCCCTTTCTAGGAGGTTTTGTTTAAATGTTCAGCAAATTTGTCGGGTACAATCTCTCCTCGTAAAGTCGTGCTGACTCTCTTATTAATTCATGTTTTTCAAGGTAGTTCATTATTCCCTCTTCAAGGTTTCCCTCTAATGCTTAACAACCACCACAATAAATTGCATTTATATAGCGCCTTTCAAATTCATGTCAGCCTTATTCAGTTGTTAGCACCCTCCCTTCTGAATCAGAAAATTGTAAGTTCAAACACCATGCCAGGATTTGAGTTTATAGCCTAGATTGATACTCCAATGTCATGCTGGGGAAGTATTGCACTGTCACAGGTACCATCCTAGAGATGACATGATAAACTGAGGTGTTGTCTCTATTCAGGTAGACATTAAAGATTCCATGGTACTAATTCAAAAGAAAAGGAAGCTTCTTCCATTGTCCTGACCAACAATTCCCACCCCAAGATAAAATATTAGTCATTCACTTGATGGTGTTTGTGGAATATTGCTGTCTGAAAATATGCTGCCATATTTGCCTACAAAGATACAATCACTACACTTTACAAAATAAACCTCTGTGAAGCACTGTGAAACATTTTGGCACAATATCAAATCCAACAACAATTATTTACTTATATCAAGTTCACTGGCCTGAGGTGCTGATAATTATTTTCAAAGCCCTTTATAAATTGACTTGTGTCCACCTTTCTCCAAATCTCCAATGATACCCTAAAGAGGGATTAAGACATTTTATAAAGCAATTACTTAAGTACCCTAGAGTGCGCCTGGTATTTAGTCCACTGTTAGTAGTAGTAATTTAAGATATCTGCTGTCCCTTGGTCACTCAGTTCCATGTTATCTTTGAAGTGTTCTAGTGGTTCTACTATTTACCTTTTGTTTTAGGTCATTCGGGTATCTGACACATGCAGAAACCCATCACCATGCTTTAGATTATCCAAACCAAACTGAGAGTTCCATGCATCCCACTTACACAAGGAAATTCCAGCAATGTTTGTTGGAATGGAATCCGCACTCTCTTTCTGAAGGGATGCATCCTTTCTACCTAATTCCAGAAAGTATGAGGCACAGGTTGGCAAGAGCTTGTGGACCCCTGCTGGTTAGATTCCAGCAGTTGGAGTACTGCTGGAATCTAACCAGCTAAATCACATAGCTTTCCATTGAGACACTGCCTCGCACGCTTTCCTGCTACTTGCCCAGCTAGAACGATCCTTCCTGTTAGGGCTTTACCTGATTGCTACAAATATATATATTTTACCGTGATCCACCTTTGTCCATATTTTTTTGCTTCTTCCTTGCTGTGCTTCATTCTCAGTGGTTTATTGATTTTCTGCATTTTCTGCAATTCTTGAAACTATTTCATTTTCTTCACTTCTAACAATGGGTTCCAGGCTAGCTTTCTTAGTTTCCACCTCATTCGTTCAAAATCCACCATTCTAAAGTGTAATGTTTCTGTTGTGCTCATTCCCTTCCCCATCGTAAACCTGAGTTTCAACGTATTCATGTTGTGACCGCTGTTTCCACTATAACATTGTCTATCAAATCCTAGTATGAGAATCAATATCACCTGTCTCCATGTTGTATCCCTAATCTTCTGAGAAATGGAGAAGTCCAGTATCATATCAAGAAATATGTTATTCCTTTGACTCAATTATGGCAGGAAAGTTTATTCATTCATACAGCTAGTAAGTGTATTGAAACACTGTAATAATAATAATAATAATAATAATCCTTGCATTTGATATAGCGCTTTTCACGTCGGGAGGACGTCCCAAAGCGCTTCACAGAACACACTGTAAAGTGAATTGACTGTATATTTGTGGGCGAACGCGGCAGCCAATTGCGCACAGCAATGTCCCACAAACAGTCGTAGATTGAAAATGACCAATTTATTATTGTTTTGGGTTTTGGAGGGATTATTATTAGGCTCTGTGTGGAGTAAGGAAACTTGCCCAAGGTTTCGCCCTCTGCCTGGAATTGAACTCAGGTCTCTCGCTTGCAAAGCGAGTGCTCTAACCACTGAGCTACAGGACTCCACTTTAATATAGTGGAGTCCACTATTATATTATTAATATAATATAGTCCACTTTTATATAAAGTAATATATTTCTTAAAGGCAACTTCATTGTACACAGACGAGAATAAAGAGATAGCATGAGATAGGACTCTGCCCCTGGATAACACAGTGATAGGGAAGAGTGGTAAAGTGCTGATTCACTCATATCAATTGGTTTACCTATTAATAAAAACATGAGATTCACAAGTTCAAAAAACGTTTCTCATCTGTTACTCTGTAACTCAACTAAATACTATTTTCCTAAATAAATTCTTTCCTAGGCAGAAAAGACGAGAACCTGTGATATGAGTCATAGGCTACCTTGAAATTGCACTCATACAGGGAAGATTACTTGACAGGACTCAGCAGTTTACTGAAAAATAAGACGCATTTACCTGAAGCACAAAACTGATGACCTGGGCCAATAGAAAAGTGCGGCCTCACTTTTCCCGCAGAATCCACTACAAATGCACTACAACATCCCCCATTTCCCTACAAACCTATACACACAGTGCAATAGGCCTGCTCCTCTCATGCTGTTTACTCGACGCTGCTACTGAGGGCGGAGTGGCTCCAGTAGCACATGCACGGTGTGGGGAGTGTTAGGATTGCGGTAGCAGCGCGAGCGGGAAATCGGCTTCGCTCGCCACCCAGCCTGAAGCTGAGCTCCTGCGGCAAACTTTTGGTAAGTGCTGTACTATTCACATTAATTTTTTTTGTATTTTAAACTTAACTAAATGATCAGGAACTACATGCCTATAGTTTTAATCCGGGTTGTTTCATAAAATGCATCCCTCAATAGCACCAATCAACCCTCCGCAACTTTCCACAAAATCTGTCAAATGCCCTGCAATTTTTAGCAAATATTTCTGCACTTTTCTATTGGCCCAGCTGATGACCTACACAGCAAATTAGTTACAAAGGGCAATATAAAAAGATAGGAGGCCATTTGAACTACAAAACCTGCTCTGCCATTTTATTAGTTCCTAACTGCTATCTATATTCTTAATCCCATTTCCTTGTGCTTTCTGAATACTTGCCAAATACCCATCTCCTTTTTAAATCTCTGTGCACCATCAAGCCAATTATCCAATGTTAATTAATTGCAATATTTCATATGAAGGGGAAATCAAAATACTTCTTGTTCAAACTATGTCTACTTGGTGTAGAAGCAAATTGCATTGTTGTCGCTCCTGTTATTTATATGATAATAATTCTTGCATTTGAATTATCACCTTTGAGACATCTCAAAGTGCTTCACAGAATACACTATAAAGTGATTAACAGTACATTTTATGGGCGAAACGCGGCAACCAATTGCGCACAACTATGTTCCATAAACAGTCGTGGATTGAAGTGACCAATTTATTATTATAATTTTTTAAAGGAATTATTACCCCACCCCTAAAAACAATCCACCAATCAACTAACAACCAGGTTCCCACTTACTGCTAGGTAAACAGAGGCGTGTGGAGTAAGGAAATTTGCTTAATATGTATAACATTTATAGCGTACTAGAAACAAAATATATAGAATCATAGAATCATAGAATTACACAGCACAGAAGCAGATCATTCGGCCCATTGGGTCTGTG